TAATAAAAAAAGAGGATCCTCTTGCCTCGATCCACGAGCCACCGCTGGACTTCAAGGTATAATTTCTAACTCCAATCCCGTTCTCGACGTTTGCAGCGGATCGGAGAACCACTTATATGCGCTCTTATAGCACGGTAGGAAGGGAGCCCGGTGCGAAGCATACGACAAGGCGGGTAAGCCCTATACACGCCTTGTAGCGTGGTGGGGACGGTCCTCGACCTCGACACCGACTTTCCCGTGACTGCTACGCAAGTATAATTCCTAAAACTTAAGATTCCCTATTCTCGTCGTTTGCGGCGGACCGACAAACCCCTATACGCGCTCTTGTAGCACGGTGGGAGGAAATCCGGTCCGGCGCCTACGACGAGGTGGGTAATCGCCTAAATCCCATTTTGACGTTTGCAGCGGACCGGGGAACCACCTATACGCGCTCTTGTAGCACGGTAGGAGGGAGCCCGGTGCGAAGCATACGGCGAGGTGGGTGAGCCCTATACACGCTCTTGTAGCGTGGTGGGAGAGCTACTGGTGTTCTCGTACGGGTATTGCTGAAGGCCCCGTACAACGGCTCTTGTTAGCGTGGTGGGATGAAAATTACTACGGCCGCGGTGTCTTAATGACACCTACCATACACGCCTAGTAGCGTGGTGGGAAGGCCTAGCTCCCCTATTTTCCCCCAAACGGGGGATATGCTGGGGTGCTGCCCAAATTTTCACTGAAATGTACAAAGACTTGAACAATTTGAAGACCTTCTTGGGCAACAATATAGAAGACCTATACTCTAACAAAAAAATACACATAAATTGAACTAAATGAGCAGAGGATTTGTACGAAGAACATTTGAACTTGAAGACTTGGACTGTAGGGGAAACGTGAACTTGTACTTTGAGCTCGAACTATATAACATCAAGTGAGGCTTATGAACTTGATAAACTCAGAGCCAGATGAATCTAAATTTGAACAATCACTTACACTTGGAGCTTTTAAATAATCAATTAAATTTATACTACAAGGAATTAAACTCAAGGTGGTAAGAAGATTTGAACAAAATATCAGAGACTCAACTTGGATCCAAATAAGACACGTGCAAGAGGACTCAGATTCAAATGAACTCATATCTGATTGCAAGAGAGTTGAACAACATGAACTTTAAAGAACTCAACTCATATGTCATGATTTTGGGTTTCTGAATTGAGGACCACAAGAGACTTGAATCTCTAAAGGTTTCAGGAGACCTGAACTTCTACTCAAACTCAATCTACAATTTGAATATGCACATCTGTTTGAACATGAACTAAATTCAAATCTGGGTTTAGATACTGGATCTAAACAAAGTATAGAATGACATGGACTACTGAATGATCAGCAAATAATCAAGCCTCAACTACCAGCAAACTTGTATGAGTAGGTGTAACAAACTTCTACAACAGTCCCTACGAAGTCAAATGCGCCATGCCTGTTGATTGAGAAGGCAACACTACTAGATAGTCAAAGACCCGTCCTCTATAAACAAATCCAGACATCAAACCACCTGAGATTGGTGACAGGTGGGTATGATGTAGGCAACAATGGGTCTTTTACAAATACCTTCAAGAGATCGTAGGTGATACGACGGTCCCCTGCTAATAGATACTTGTGGATAATAACAGTGTATTGTAAGTACAATGAATCACTGTGGACACAAGTACGAATATTACCTACAACGACGGTAACCAAGATCTACAAGTGCTTTGAGTACAAGGGCGACTCTATGTACAAAAAGGACACCTTTTGGCAGAAGGGAGGAAATGTTTGAACAAGTTAGAACCAAACTTCATGGTGTTTCAAAGTCTCTTTTTAATTATATAATTAAGAAGAGAACAGTTCGGGTGCTCATAAACACCAAAAATAACAAGTCCATTACACTGAAGATCCTAAAATGAGTTCTTTCCAGATCAGCGATCATTGACCCCAAAATCCAGAAAATAACTTCCCCGGTGAATGAGAAAAGGGGAATCAACACCAAGACGCCACGTCACCAGATCCGCAACATTCGTACTAGCGGACAGAAGGCGTGTATAAGCTCTCAAATGAAAAGTTGTGTGCATCCAAATGATAGTTATTTACACAACTACAATTATTTCAAAATATCCCTTACACGTGCACCGTAGTTTGTATACACATAGGTACACGAGGGGGAAAGTACAATCTCGACCCGCATTGGCCCCAGCGAGCGTGTCATTGGTACACACGTGACGCCTAGGGATGCTGTGCGGGTCAATAAATGAATTCAAGTTCGAACATGATCCTTCTATACGGGTCAATAGAAGTCGACAGGGTTCGAACCAATAAACAAGTATACAGTCGCGACGGCTGGTATATTTGTTTTATTATATTCATATTAGGCCTTCAAGGCCTATGATTAAGAGAATTCACTAAACAAAAGATATGAAGCCTACAAAACCTAATCCTCATAAGTAGATAAATAGGAGTAGACAGGGTTCAAGATATCAGATAAATATGCGGTTACGAAGTTGATCAGAATATTTATTTTGTACATTCATATCAAGCCTTCAAGGCTTTCAATAAAGAAAATTTCATAAACAAATGCATAAAGCCTACGAGAAACCCGATCCTCAGTCAATAGCTTGTCTGAGTTGACAAGGTTCAATCAATAAATGGAAATGACCCCAAACACCCCGATGATGGCCGTGTTGAATGCAAATCTCAACCGGAGCGGTTCACAAAATATTTCAAAGTGCCCTCAAACTTCTACAAAATTCAAATATTTTTCAAGTGACCTTGAGGACACCCCGATGATGGCCGTATTGATTGCTTATATCAACCGGAGGGGTTCACAAATATTTTTAAAAGCTATCCAAAGCGCCACCCAAATACTCCAAAAATCCAAAATCAATCCCAAATATTTAAAATTGAAATCTATCCATCAATGCTTAAAGCAAAATTCATCCACCCTCCGTAACAGTTTGTCGAGGTGGACAAATTCAAATATAACTTCAGCTCACAAAGAGCCAATTGCCTAGTCGAAAATATCACTATGATCCATTCTCAAAACAATCTCCTGCCAGTAAGGACGTGGTACGTGTCCTCTAATCGTACGTATCCCTTGGACGAAGCAACCCATGGCTGCCGACAAGGATCCTTCTGTCAGGTTGGGTCGGCTACCTCCTCTGACTAAGTAGACCAGGGATCACGATGGTCCGGGACAACGGAACCATGGGATCTTGATCGGGTCTATCATTCATTCCCCCACCATCCGCTTTAAGTGCAAGATTGTGCAATTTCTATTTGAATATCAAAATATCCAAATTCCCAACTCTTTCCAAATATCCAAACTTCCCAAATACCCAAATCCAAATCCAATTTCCAATTTCCAAACCCTATGCTGCTACTATATGCCAGATAACACGTATATCTACGTATCTGATTGACGACTAGCCTTAATCGAAAGTTCTCTCTCGTGATCGGGAGGGCTAATTAACTATAGGGGCTTGCGCCTATAGGAAACCAGAACTCAGATCATAAAGTCCTCACAAAATGAGGGCGAAATCTCTGGGTAGTGTCTTATCTTCAAACCCATCTGCCTTCCAAAATTTACCCCAGAATTTATTCAGTTAAAACTCCCTCGCCAAGAAAAAAAAACAAAAGCGGGCGCAGGCCGAGGACGAATTTTTGGAGCCCACATTCACGTAAAAATCTTAGTGTCTCTTATGAATACTACACCCTCTCTCTTTGTTTGTATGCGTGCTGAATCTTCATACAAAGCTAAGACGTTAAACTTTATATTTCTCTACCGCCGCGAATATGCTGAGAATACTCCAGGATGCAACAATACTTTAAAACTATATCTGCTCCTTGATTTGGAAGGAAATAACAGTTAAAAGGAAAGTGAGTGTCTTGTACAACAATTGATAGTTTTGAACAAATACCAGGCCACTATAGAGTTTCATCATTGCTCACAGGCATTGTGAAAAAATGTGGATGGTATTATGGTTTGTTCCAAGGTGTGAGCTAGTTTTTGTTGAATGAATTTTGGATCGATCCACTATCTATTAGAATTTGGACAATGTGATTGCCCACATTGCCTTTCATTCTTACTGCTCTTAAGAATGCTCTGCCTTGTAAATGCATTGAAGCTGATCTCGAGCAGCTCTGTACAATACAAGATGGCTTCTTGGTTACTTGCCTCCTGGTGGTCTTTTGGTTGTTCTTAATTATCGTTAATCACCAATAACACTAATAGCTTGGATTTTCATACATGGTTGCATTGATATTTTTCTTCGCAATGGAAATAAATGCCCTTCGCATGTTATTCTTCTAATTGGGTTGTTGTCAAATGATGTCATTGTTGAGGATCTTTGTCATCATTGACACTGGCTCCTCTATCTTGCCGAGATGTCTAAGACAGTTCTTGAGCATTTTTGTGACATTTCGGGTACAGTTCGCCAAGATTATCACTGCAACATTGGTAGAATGAAGAAATGGAAATGCTCAAAGTGAATGAAAGCAACAATGATATGTATTCTGAACCTTAAACACTTTGAGCTGTCTCAACTCCACGATGGACAGCAAGTCTCCACTGAACAAAGGAAAAAAAAACAGAAAAAAAGGAATTAGGCGATAGAATATTTTCCCCCATTCAGGTTATTTCCTCTTATTCATAGTTTTTTAACAGATTGTCTTGTATTACAGGGTAAATTAATAGCAACTGTTAATCATTCACAAAAACAGTAATTAGTTATCATGCAGATGTACAACAACTTTTTCAACGGCTTAGCTTAAAGAACTTTTTTTTTTACCCAACATATGTGTTAAGTTTGTTTTCTTCATCCTTGCTGTCAATAGTATTGTGGCTGTTTAATATGGTTGAAAATCGGCCATTCACTTTTGTTTTTTTTATCTTGTTTGGCGGCTTTGAGAGTTTCCTAACATGTTTTCTCTCTTTGCCATCTAAAATAAGGACTATGAAATCAAACTTATACGTACTGCACTTTCTGAACTAGATTGGAAGGCTCGCGCTGATGTTTTAAAGCTGTTGAAGCATCTAAAGAAGGAACTTACTATACTTGCTGTTAGTCATGATCTAAAGTAAGTACATTTGAGCTTCACAAGCTATCTCATGTTCCAACTTTATCAGCTCCCATACTTAGTAGATCCTTGGTGCTACAAATTCTATTTTTTTCTTTCTTTTGTGTTAGTATGTGTGCTTACACATAATACAGAAATTTTGTGACTGATGATGATGATGCTGTTCTTTACCCAACTTATTTAGCTTGTTCACCTCTATGTGGATTTTCATTTATAGATTGTTGCTAACACAATTGCAGTTTAGGAATACGCTCCTCCTTTAAACTGTTTATGGCTCACCTATGCATGAATTCCTGATCCAGAGTTCCCTGAATGGTTTTGGGCAAAAAAAAAAAAAGGGTATAGAACGGTTTATGGCCCGCCAATTGAGTAAAACTCATAGCTGGCTTGTTTTTCTAGATATCAAGGCATCTGCTTAAACCCATCTACTGTGAACCCAACAGGTCATGTCCTTAGCAATATAAGCCATATTCTGCCAAAATATGTTTCCAAATTATGCTTGGGAGGGGTCAGATACCTGGCTTTTAATCAAGGATAAATTAAATGTAGCTTATTAAGGTAGAAGATTCGTTTCACTTTGGTTCACATATTTTGAATTCCTTTGTGCTGGTCCTGGATGTTGCTGCTATTGTTGAAGTTGCTGGAGAAAAGCTCATCTTTGAGCACAAAGAAACAGATTAGAACGAAAAATAATTTGCAAGAAACACTAAAAACAGATGACACAAGATTCACGCGATTTGGCGAAATTTGCCTGGTTTCATGGCTGCATGAAGAAGCGGAAATTTCTTCTTTTCTGGCGATATGCATAAGATTAAAATATTTGTCTTAAGATATTCCCTCACTCTAGGCTCTCCCTATATATATATATATTTTTTTTTTCATTTGTCCTTTTATCCTTCACTCATTCAAGTCTTCAACAATCTTGGTTACAACTTTAATTGAATTTGTTAATGCATATTTGAAATAATTCAAAGTTTGTCAAGGAATGAGGGAATTTACACATTTTAACAATCTCTCTTTTGATTGTTAAGTTTTTTATGTACATTTTGAGAGAATAATCTCTACGTTGCAACCTTCTCAATCATCCTTTGGGGTTGGGTGATGCTGTGCAATATTGCAATTTATAAGTGGTAAACCTATCATATTCATTTATATTTATCCTTTCTTTGTGTCTTTGTTTGCTCTTTGATCATGTAAGATTGATTGTCATGCAATGCTCTTTTGTCATTTGGTAGCTCCCACGTGATGGTGACTTTATCTTCCTTTCTTCTTGCAAGCTCACTAGTATTCATTAACAATGAGTAATGCTAGGAATGCATGTATTTCCGTGTAGATCTAAGCATCTATTGAGATTTCGTAATTCTACTACAAGTGTCGTTTAACTTGAGGATAAAAACATTTTACATCCATAACGAGTAAGCAAAATGCTAGGAATTAGTTGAATAACTTTAGGAGAAAACTCATAATATCAATATTTTTTTAATTAAAACCATTTAGCCACTAGCCTTTCTCTTTATCTTTTTTTGTCATTGAGCCCCTACTTGATCAAGAGCATCCATTTATTCCACAACACTTCTTTATCTTTTAGTACCCGAGTATTCATCTCTTTCATCACTAGTTGCCACTTGATAGTGCCTTTAACCTGCATTGCCTCTTCAAACCACTCAAGTTCAATAACATCAGTAAAAATAAAGAAGACAAGAAATGAGAATATGTTCGAGTAGGCTTGAATATTGTTTGATGTCACCTCAATTGCGCCACAGTCATGCTCGATTTTTATTGTCTTTACACTCATAACACCTATCTCTTTCTTGCATGCCATCTTTAAAATCACCTCTAGCTCAACATTTTCACCTATGGAGGTATTCTTCTTAGTATTATTGGACTTTGTGTATGATAGTTTCATTGAATGTAACCTAACTCTTTTTAATGAACAAATGATTTTGTTCATGCCAATATTTGCAACCAAAAATCATTAACTCCATATCCCGATAACAAAATTCTTTTTAGACTTAGGATATCTTATCTCAGATAATGGAATTCAAATGCACATAAGAAATGGATATTGATATTATATGAAAAATCCCCTATTATTGTTTTACCTTACACCCAAAATACTTAAAACAAACAACCCTTTAATAGATATTGATATTATATGTCATTTCTTGATGACTATTCTCATTATTGTTAGGTTTTTTCAATGCACATAAACCATAAAATTTGAAACTACTACAAAATTTTTTTTACTTCAAAATCACGATAAAAAAACAATTTCAAACATCTATCAGAATTCTTCATACTGATGGTGGAGGAGAATATATCGAGTCTTCACTTAGCAATCTCGTCTCTTCTTACAGAATTATTCATCAATATATTTGTCCCTATACTCCAAAATAAGCGGAGTTATTGAATGCAAACACCAACATCTTGTTGAAACTCTTCATACTCTCATGATTGATGCCTCTCTATGTCAACAATTCTGTGTGGATGCACTTCTAACTGTTGCTTGATTAACCGAATGCCTTCCACAATAACGAGACATAAATCACCATACCAACTACTAAATAATCAACAACCAGACTATTCTCATCTTTAAATTTTTGGTAGCCTATGTTTCCCTTAGATACGACCCAAGCCAAAAACAAACTATCTTCCATGTCGGCCAGCTGTCTTCATTATGCAAACTCTCCAAAAGGATATTATGCTATGAACCTACTACAGGAAAACTTACACCTCTCGGAATGTTTTTAATGAATCCATCTTCCCACATCAAATACCTCTTCCTCTGCTTTCCCGCCTTCAGTTTCTTAGCAGACTCCTCAATTTGCTTCAACATATGCCACTCTCATCCAACCAATTGACTCACTATTTATGCCCATTCTTCACAAAGTTCGTATAGTCTTCATCGATGTATTTAGACTGTTAGCTAAAATATCTACTATTCGGGTTCTTGTGGCAAGTCACTCACCACTGACAAATAATTCATTTGGATGCCTCTAATATCTTTCTACATTGTCTTAAATGAAAAGATTTATATCACTCAACTAGAAGGTTATCATCATCCTTAATATTTTAATCACGATCGTCTCTTGAAGAAGGCTATCTATAACCTCAAATAAGCACCTCGACATTGATTTGCAGCACTTACATATTATCTAATTCAACTTAGCTTTCTCACAAGCACTGTTGATCTTTCTTTACTTCTCTATAGCAATAACTTCCATATTTATTTTCTAATCTATGTACATAACATTCTATTAATAGCCAACAACTCTGATGCACTTCTTAGTCTTCTACAGAAGCTTTAAAGTCAGTTTAACATGTAAAAAAAAAAAAGTCAGTTTAACATGTGAAATCTGGGACACATTTGGCAATTCCTTAGCATCCAAGTTCAGCCAACTGAACTATGGACTTCTTCTAAGTCAATCTACCTATGCCAATGACATTCTCCAACGGGCGGGGCGGGTACATTAAATTACAAATCTTCTCAAAATCTTGTCCCATCCAAATCACCAATCATGATTAATCTTCAGGTAGCATTTGACAATCCAACTCTCTATCTGAATTTTGTTGGCTCCCTGCAATACTTTACCATCACACAATTAGATATTTCATTTGAAGCTAACAAATTCTTTCAATTTATGCATACACCTCTTAGGTTTCGTTTGGGACGGCTTTTTTACTGCTTCTTAAAACAACTTTTTAGTACAAAAATTAAAATTTTAATACTCAAAAGCCGCTTTAAAAAACAGTAAAAAAGCCTTCCCAAACGAAGCCTTAATGTTCATTTCGGCAGGTGAGGCGGCTTGTTCGCTGCATCATGGGCAAAATTACCATTGCTCTACCGAACTATAGAGTTACACTTCATCTTCATGCTTTTCTCCAACTCTAATTGTGTTGGCGATCAAGAAGACAAAATTCATAACAAGTTTCCATGCGTACCTTGACAAGATTTTTATATCTTGGTGTGTTAAACAATCGATGGTAGCTTCTTCTTCGACGAAAGTGAAATATTGTGCCTTTGTTGCAGCTACTGCTGATATTATTCGGCTCCATCACCTGCTCCAAGAACTTTGTATTCTTCATCAATTTCCACACCTTTATACTGTTACAATGTCCTGCACTTGCATTGTTTAGCAATCCAATTTTTCATATTCCTATCGAACTTATTATAATTAATTGCCATTTCATTTGGGTTATCTTCTGTACATACACCTTCTCCTTTATGACATTTATTTCTTGCCTTATTTTTCTTTCTGCGAATCAATGGAATAAGCTATTTGTTTCTGAATAGCAGCTTCAACTAATTGTCATTTCAGGGAGCTTTCAGCTTTGGTGGATGTCTCATGGAGAATGGAAATGGGAGGGATACTGAAGGAAGAAAGGTTACCAGTCTAATGTAAGAATCCTCTTTACAAAGGCTCACCACTGCAATTATCATAACAAGCGTAGTTTTTGGTGAATGAGCTCAAAGAAGTTATTAGAGCTTTGGTGAATCTCAGCATAGCCATGAAATAATGCTCCTCTTTATTCTTGCTTAGGTTTTATTTCGTATAATGATATTGATATTATATTTTAATTGTTCTATATGAAATAAAATAATTAATTTTCTATGTAAAAGGATGAACTGCATCATAAATCAGTCAATTTGTTTTTCATATTATATGAGAATACATGTAAATCAGGTTTTAAGCATATTGTTTATGTAAATTAAAATCATTTTTGGAAAACTTGAAGAGAAGTTGTCTAAAGGAAGCCTCAATGCCTCTTTTATCTTTCTAAATTGGGAATTTAGGGCATGTTTGGGATGATCCTATTGTTTTATTAAGACTTCGTTTGAGACGGCTTTCTTACTGCTTCTTAAAGCAGCTTTCTCGTACAAAAAAATTAATTTTTAAACTAGAAAGCTGCTTTAAGAAGCAGTAAGAAAGTCGTCCCAAACAAAGTTTAAGTCAGTTATGAAGTTGTTCTGGAAAAAGTATTTTAAGTATTTTGGTTGTATAAGTATAAGATAATTTTATACTACAACAATTTTGGAAAAACAGTGAAAAATCATTAAGAATGCAGTACTAAAAGATAATTATGATTGTTATATGAAAAGCGAAGCAACGAGAAAACTCTCTTGGACAAATCCTTAGTATAATATTCATAGTTCTTGCCTAAGAACTGAATTTCTAGGGCAAGCAAGCATTTATAGAACAAGCAATCAAGATTGAAATGGGTGAAATTTTAAGTATATGCATGAAAGAAATGAGTCAAAAGAGTATCATTCAAATTTATTTGGGGGATTTACATATATGATACAAAATTTTTATGTTTAAATACTTAAAATAGAAATCTATATATTTATGCTAACACTCAAATTTTTATATTTATGTTTTTTACTTTAGTCAGTGATGTTCTTTTAGACATTGCAAGAGGAAGTACTTTGGTGTATGCTTTTTGTTGATGATATTTTTCTTGTTGATAAGACTAGAGAGGGAGTTGAAGGAAAATTTGAATTATGGAGGATAACCTTAGAGTTAAAGGTTTTCGTTTGAGTGGATTTAAAACTGAATATATTTAGTGTAATTTTAGTAGTATTATATCTAGTGTGGGGGTGGTGATTTTGGATGATCAAGTTATTAAGAGTACACGTTTTAAATATCTCGACATGGAGAATGGAAATGGGAGGGATACTGAAGGAAGAAAGGTTACCAGTCTAATGTAAGAATCCTCTTTACAAAGGCTCACCACTGCAATTATCATAACAAGCGTAGTTTTTGGTGAATGAGCTCAAAGAAGTTATTAGAGCTTTGGTGAATCTCAGCATAGCCATGAAATAATGCTCCTCTTTATTCTTGCTTAGGTTTTATTTCGTATAATAATATTGATCTTATATTTTAATTGTTCTATATGAAATAAAATAATTAATTTTCTATGTAAAAGGATGAACTGCATCATAAATTAGTCAATGTGTTTTTCATATTATATGAGAATGCATGTAAATCAGGTTTTAAGCATATTGTTTATGTAAATTAAAACCATTTTTGGAAAACTTGAAGAGAAGTTGTCTAAAGGAAGCCTCAATGCCTCTTTATCTTTCTAAATTGGGAATTTAGGGCATGTTTGGGACGATGCTATTGTTTTATTAAGGCTTCATTTGAGACGGCTTTTTTACTGCTTCTTAAAGCAGCTTTTTCGTACAAAAATTTTAATTTTTAAACTAGAAAGCTGCTTTAAGAAACAGTAAGAACAAATCCTTAGTATAATATTCAAAGTTCTTGCCTAAGAACTGAATTTCTAGGGCAAGCAAGCATTTATAGAACAAGCAATCAAGATTGAAATGGGTGAAATTTTAAGTATATGCTTGAAAGAAATGAGTGAAAAGAATATCATTCAAATTTATTTAGGGGATTTACATATATGATACAAAATTTTTATGTTTAAATACTTAAAAATGAAATCTATATATTTATGCTAACAATCAAAATTTTATATTTATGTTTTTTACTTTAGTCAGTGATGTTCTTCTAGACATTGCAAGAGGAAGTACTTTGGTGTATGTTTTTTGTTGATGATATTTTTCTTGTTGATAAGACTAGAGAGGGAGTTGAAGGAAAATTTGAATTATGGAGGACAACCTTAGAGTTAAAGGTTTTTGTTTGAGTGGATCTAAAATTGAATACATTGAGGTAATTTTAGTAGTATTAGATCTAGTGTGGTGGTTGTGATTTTGGACGATCAAGTTATTAAGAGTACACTTTTTAAATATCTCGAGTATATTATTCACAGTGATGGTGAAATAGATGACAATATTATTAGTAGAATTCAAATTGGATTGCTAAAGTGGAGGATTACATTATGTCTGTTGTGTGATAGAAATGTATCCTCAGACTTGAGGGAAAATTCTATAAAATGGTGGTGTGACTTGCAATGCTTTATGGCGTTGAATGCTGGCAATTAAAAGAGAAGCATAAAAGTAAGCTAAGTGTTACAAATATGAGAATGATCAAGTGGATGAGTGGTTTTACTCTTAGAGATAGAATGGGAAACAAATATATACATGAAAAGATTGGAGTACCTTCAGTGGTAGATATGATTAGAGAGAGTTGCATTTGATGTTTTGGATACAAAAAATGTTGGCCTTTCAATGACTCTTTTAGAAGAGTAGTATTAGATTTTTGTCTATGTTAAGAAAGATAGCAGTAGATCTAAAAAGATTTGGATAGAAAATATTAGAAACGATTTTTTCTTATTAGATTTAAATGAGAATTTGACTCTTAATATAACACAATGAAAAAAATGATTAATGTTGTTAATCCCACGTAGTGGGATAGATTTGTGTTCATGGGATAGATTTGATGTTGTACACAAATCATTAAATCTTATTAGAATTATTATTAATATTAGCTTTTTTGAATAAAATATATATTTTTCATTCATAAATTTTGATATGATTTAAAATTGAAGTTGTATATAGAATCAAGATAAACGTTTTTGTTAGACATATAAAAATTTATGATAGTTATAAAAGGAAAAATGTGTTTCTTTTACATAAATTAGACATCACTTACGTGGCAATGGCAATATAAGGAACTTTTATTTGGTCCGGACACCTGACGTAGCTCTACGTTCGGACGTCAATAAAATAGTGTCACGTGTTCTCACTATTTACCACGCGGCCCGACAACCCCGACCCGGAAAGAAGACGGATTGCTATGTTCGCGTGTTGCTAGGTATTGCTCGGTATTGGTCGATTTTGCTTGGCAATAACGAGAAATACCATTATGTGAATATCAATACCGAGCAATACCGAGAAATATCGAGCAATACCGAGCTATACCGTGTTCTCACTATTTACCGCGCGACCGACAACCCCGACCCGGAACGAAGACGGGATTGCTATATTCGCGTGTTGCTAGGTATTGCTCGGTATTGGTCGATTTTGCTCGGCAATAACGAGAAATATCATTTTGTGAAGACCAATACCGAGCAATATCGAGAAATACCGGGCAATACCGACTCGGTATTGATCGGTATTCTCGGTATTTCTCGGTATTGGTCTTCACAGAGCGATATTTTTCATTATTGTCAAGCAATACCTAATACCGAGCAATACCTAGCAATACTGAGCAATACCGAGCAATACACGAACATAGCAATCCCGGGTCAAGTCGTCGGGCCGCGCGGTATTGAGTAAGACCACGTGGCGATATGTTATTGTCGTTCGCATGTAGAGCTACGTCAGGTCACCTGACCTAATAATTGTTCCAATATAAGAGGGCATTTTCATTTGTTTTTACAATGACCTTCGCATACAAGAAAAATGATTTGTTTTTTTTACCCAAACTTATTGTATGATTTATTTATTTTTTTGACACCACTATACGTAATATTACTAGTATATTATCCTAATGAGAAAAGTATCAAATGATCTCCATCTTGCTTATATGATGTGTATATAAATTTATCTTAATAGACTTAAATATTGTTGCTAGCAAATACCGCTGTTTTTAGTTTGGGATCTTCCAACTCATTCCCGCAGTAGATCCGGACCGATTTTTTTCTGATCCTTCGAGAAAAAGATTCATTCTCCTCATAAAAAAGAGGAGGTAGAACCAATAAAGATTTCTTTTTCGATTCATCCCCCACATAAAAAAAAAAAAGAACATTGTCGTAAATGTGGAAGTTTTGAAGAATATATTCAACAAAATGTTGCTTCTTCGAACTTTCTTGTTTCATAACTCCTAATCTAATTCAGACTCGGTCAGAAAAAAAAAATGTACGTGAAGAGGTTAATTTTGGCTTCAACTTTTTCCAGTCAAAGTTCAACTAGAAAATGGTATTTAGAATTTTAGTTATGGTACAAATTCAGCCAATGGATTAATTTTCTTTGCTGGAAAAAAATAAAATAAAATCATTCTAACTGATATTGGATTGCATCCTAGCCATCAAAAAATGAATCGGATGTCTAAGATGCAGCAATAATTGCATTTGAAAATTGCTTTTTCTAAACCAAAAGAATGTTTCAATAATAACTTGATCATCTCTTGTGTAATATTATTTTGCTTGATTTTAACAAGATCATCAGATTATTCACATTTATTACCAAAAAAAAAGTTTTATAAAAATATTTAAAGTCGAATGAAAATATTCCTATATAATATTTAAACACCATGACAATTTGAACTAAGAGCGTCTCCAGGCGAACGCCTAACACTTATTTGGCGTCATTGGTTTGATCCATTTGATTGCCAAATAAATGTCATTCGCGTGATGACGAACAATCACATGCTATTTTTTTTTTTAAATTAAACAATTAGGTTAGAAAAAAGTATGAGAAAGAATATGCACAGAATATTCTTTTTTGCATTAGAAAATAGAGTTTGATTGGAGACGAGTTACTGCATTAATTTTGAAGTAAAAAATGAGTTTTCCGGTTGAAGATGGCCTAAACACCATCCTTTAACTACTTTATCATACTTACATAAAAAATAAATAAAGAAAAAAAAAAACTAAATTATCATACTAACATTTACAAGAAATTTTGATAGGACAAAAGACAACTTAAAAAGTTCGAACTCTTATCATCATCTTCCTCCTCCACCCATCATCACCATCATCATTTACCCTCCCTTCCTTTATATCCTTCCGCACACATTTCCTTCACCACCTAAAGCAATTTCCTCTCATAATTCTTTCAACATAACATGTTTACAGGTTGTCCTCTATACCAAGCTTCATGATTCATGAAGGAGGTCTCGTTGATATAGAAATAATTTAAACAGATAAATTATCTTTGACACGATAACTAAAACCAGAAGTACCTGACCTTTAGGCAATCCCATGGAAGCTTCCAAGCAGGCATTTGGACCGTCGTCTACGAATCCAGAAGCATAATTAGTCACTAATACACGATATTCTTCTAATGATAATAATAGAAAAAACCAATTCATTATTAATTTATCATACTCATTTTAATTAAAATATTCTAATCCAAATTTTTTCCTTTAAGCAGTCATAGATCGCTCTCTTCTCATTCCTCCATCGTCCACGTTTCCCTTCTTATTTCTCTCAGCTAGCTAGCTTTCCCCGGCCCCAGCACACTCAATCATCCCCAAACTATCTTATTAATGGAGAATTACAATCTACTCCTTGCTTCAAATCATTCTTCTTCATCAAACAATAGCTATCTCCTTCAATCATCACATGCAGATCCCTCTGTTCTTTCTGAGTCGCAGGAGGAAGAAAAGAAACAGGAGAGCTACGATGAAAGACCAGACAAGGAGAAGAAGAAATCTACAGCCAAAATAGCAAACAAGATTAGGAAGCCCCGCTTTGCCTTCCAGACGAGGAGTAAAGTCGACGTACTAGATGATGGCTATCGTTGGCGTAAATACGGGCAGAAAGCAGTTAAGAACAATAATTTTCCAAGGTTCGATTTTAATGGCGCTCTCCTCCTCCTACTTAATTATATCATTATAGCAAAATCTTCCATTATCTACAAATTTTTGACGGCTTTCCAGTGGATTATTTTCCTGCAATTTACGATGAAATATTTCCGGGCAGATTTAGCGGCATTTTTTTTTGAAAATTTTTCGCCGGAAATTTGTCGATAAATTCAAAATCTGCCGGAAAATGCCGCCGGTAATATATGATTTTCTAGTAGTGTATCCTAAAGTTCATTTAAAGGCGCAATTTCATGATTAAACGAATAAAAACTTCTGATTAATAATCTTTTTTTTTTATAGTAAAACCGATCATAATCCCCCCTCATATCATTCAAGTTGAACTGAGGAAGGGATTATAACTTATAAGCATGATAAGATTATCTTTACATTGCTATAATTACAACGACAAGCTTTCTTATATCCATAAATTTGTCATATTACGTGCCAATATTAATAAATAACGACATTGAATTATATAAATGCATATATATATTTATCATATATTCTTAATATATATATTATATATTGTTAATAAAGATGTGCTTAACTTAAATTATT